TCTATCTATCTATCTATCTATCTATCTATCTATCTATCTCAATTTCTTCATATCTATCTCAGTCAATTTATATATATCTATCTCAGTCTATCCATATCTATCTATCTATCTGTAGATTTACCTCAGTCTGTTCATATATATATATATATATATATATATATATATATATATATATATATAAAAAACAGACCACTTTAAGGTACCATTACAATAATTTATTTCACCAAAATTCTTTTGAAGGATTCCGGATCATCAGGTAACACATCCAACAACGAAATGAAAGGAAAAAATGGGATTAGAAATTGATGGGTAGTGTAATTTTTGTAATTTAACAGGGAGGTGAGAGTTGTAGTTAACGAGACAAGGTAGATTATAGACGAGGGGTATATAAAACATGCTTAAGAAAATATGAAATTTACCTTGATTCACATTGAGCTCTCAGGATTTCATCCTCCTTGGAATTACCCATTCAGTTTACCAAGTTCTTCGTAACTTAACTACATATATATATATATATATATATATATATATATATATATATATATATATATATATTATTTTAAGGTATTTTATTGCTATACGTTATTTATATAGACACGAATATTTAGGTAAATGCTCTGTTTATAATAATATTTAAAAACAGTAAAATCGTCCTTGCTAAGCAGACACTTCTCTGTAGCTAAACTGGTATAGCACGTCAGGCTATTTGACGGTTACGATACAGGTTCCATTCCTGTCAGAGGACGCATATATTCAATGAACATTTTTCGGACGTTTAGGCCGGTAAATGTTAAAACAGTTTATTAGAAACAGATCATTTATTTAAACATTTGTGTCTATATAAATAATGTATAACAATAAACTATCTTAATATAACTGTCGGACTTTGTCTATTTCGTTGTTTGTGACGACATTGGTTTATATTTAGACACTCTTCGAGCAGATATGATCGTTCGAGTGAAATCATGGAGTTTAAAAGCAATACATACATACATACATGCATACATATATATAGGACTGCAGATCATCAGACTTTACTTCCAAGTAAAAGTTAAGTCTGATGATCCACAGTCCTTTAAAAGGGCTGTTGTGAAATAATTTATTACATGGAACCTTAAAGTGGTCTGTTTTTTATTTCAATTATTTGCTCTGGATTTACATTGAGTCTCTGGATTATATCCTCCTTAGGTTTACCCATACGGATTATCTAGTTTTTCATAAACTATAAATATATATATATATATATATATATATATATATATATATGATATGATATGTTATGATTTTGTTTTTTTTATTATTATAAACTGTATTAGGTCTTCGTTAAATATGCAAATACTGTCTACGTGCCATCCGCTCATCTTCAGATATTGTAACTATTTTTTGTTTTGTTAAAATTCAGTTAGTATCCGAGACGTAAATACGCGCACACACACACACACACACACACACACATATATATATATATATATATATATATATATATATATATATATATATATATATATATATAATCTTTATCTATCTAAGCAAATAAACCAGCTTTTACAATATATCTCTGAGTTCTTGTACATCTATTTATTTTAATCTTGTCTATCTATCTATCTATCTAGAATTTTGAAAATACTTTCACCTTCAACATGTGACCTTTGAGACTTAATGATTCAAAACTCCTAAACAAATATGCCTGGAGCAACTAACCTGAGTCCGCCCCGGACCAAGAACTTATTGAAAGCCGACATTGTGGATATTATGGCCAGTATTAACAATTACAACCTGATATGGCCACTATTGTTGAACTCCCTTTTGTGCATTGATCTTCTATTATCACCTATTGGAGCATGTAGTTTTCATGTTTCTCTCATATCTCTTCTGAATTCGTGTAAGCATTTACTTGCTTTTGCTCAACCGTCACTTAGGTTAGTTAACAACTCGACGATACAGTGTCCCATCTTTCTGACGTTAACAATAATTCTCCAGTTGAACGGTAATAAATTCTGCTTGTCTTCCATCTTTGTTTCAGCTCCACTGCAACAGGTAAATATGAACGAGAGACTTAGAAACTTCTGACAATGATAGACTTGAAGTCATTTTATCAACTTCATGTAACTGATTGGATTTATCAATATTTATTAAAATTTCATCGATCCAATCAAATTGTCTATCAGGATGTTCTTCTCCGACAGAGAGTAATTTCTAATCTTGTCAATGACCTTTATTCAATTGGACAATTCTACACGACGTATTGGCCCCATGGTGGACAGCATTGCAAAATAGAGCTTCTTTTATTTCGCTTTCGCGTTTTTCTTCTCTCTCTTTCTCTCACTCTTTCACTACCTACTTTGATTTCAAGAGAAAGGCAAATTAAATGAATGCACACATAGACACACACACACATATATATATATATATATATATATATATATATATATATATATATATATATATATATATGCAGAATTGGATATAGAAAGAAGGATGTTGTAGCATCATTAAAAACGTATATATATATATATATATATATATATATATATATATATATATATATATATATATATATATATATATATATATATATGTTGCTTTTAGTAAAAACATACAATATATTTTTTCTTTTTCCTTTTTCTCCTTTTTTCAATACCATTTCCGGTGAGTTGACCTATTAAATAGAACAATGTCTGATCCTTACCCCCTCCTCCTCAATATTAAATATTGTAATAAAAAATAATAAAAATCAATTTTAACACTCTTCCTTCCCTCTCTAGATTCGACCATGCCTCTCCCACTTTCCCTCACCACCCTCTATGCCACCTTATATAAGTTTAATACCGCCCTTCAAAAGTGTAAATTCTAAATTCTTTTTCTCACCCTTGAAAGTGAAGTCTGAAGGTCAAGAGAAAATTAAAAACTCTGGTGAAATAAATTATAACTAATGGAACTTTAAAGTGGCCAGTTTTTTCTTGAAATTATATATATATATATATATATATATATATATATATATATATATATATATATATAATAATATTAATATAATATTAATGCTTCATTGAGCTATTTTTGTAAAAAATGAAATATCTATAAGAACACCGGAAATTTTATATCTTACTGTTCTTTCTTTTATAAATATACATATATATATTATATATATATATAATATATATATATAACCTAAAATGAATCTGGAAAATTTAAACTCCATTTAAAACCTATTGAATTTATCCATCCTCTTTTCCAAGCTTTTAAATCTCTTCCGCTGCTTTAGATGCAAAAATGAACAAAATTAAGCTGTGTCGAATTTGATGTTCATTATTTCACTTTACAGATTCAATTAAATTATTTGATACTTAAGTATTACATAATAATGACAACTGAAGCCACTCTACTGCGGATTCCTTCTTCTTTATCAGTTGAGTTCTAGTGTGTCAGCACTTTTAGTGCCCTAATCTGGTATGTAAACATGACATTAATTATGACGGTTCGAATGAGTTCACTGGGTGCAATACATCAAGAGGCATCCCATTAAAAAATATAAAGTAGTGAATAGAGGCTATTCGCATGCAATAATACCAATATCAGGAAACTTTGGAGAGCTATTAACAGGTAAGGCACAATTTCTTTCCAAATGATTTCAAACACTAATGAAAAAAGATGCCCCAGTGATTTTCTGGTTTTCCCCTGATATAGGACAACTAAATCCCTACATAAATCCTTACACAAAACAATGTATCCATGTAGAATTTCGTAAGACTGAAAGTCGAATATATATATATATATATATATATATATATATATATATATATATATATATATATATATATATATAATAAAAAAAGAAAAACAGTAAGATATATAATCCGGCGTTCTTACTGATATTTATTGTTTTTATTTTTACAAAAACAGTGCTCAATGTAAATTTACGGAGCCTAAATATTGAAACATGTTTCTTACTGTTTAGCGAATAAAACATATTTTATGTCAATTAATTTACAATATATATATATATATATATATATATATATATATATATATATATATATATATATATTTAAAAATATGTTTCCAACGCTACATAAGAGTTCTCATGACAGAACTGTAGCGTTGGAATCATATTTTTAAATAAATAATTATATTTAAACTCTACTTTTGTATCGAGCACTATTTTTTTAAGAATAATAACAAAAATACTAAAGAATTTTGGATTATTTACCTAACGAGTTCTTTCCTATTTTCTATATATTTTACACACACACACACACACACACACACACATATATATATATATATATATATATATATATATATATATATATATATATATCAGAAAAATCTTAAAAATCACTATCGGTTATACTTTACTTCATGAATATTTTTATATTCATCTCTTCAGGCCGAAAGTTTTTTTTTATTTAAAAACTTTCTTTCTAAAGAGATGAATATAACAATGTTCATGAAATAAATTAAGGTTTTCTTAATTTATCATTAAATAGCCCGGTAACTTACATGTAATGTTCTCTTTAGAAATATACCTAATTATATATATATATATATATATGTGTGTGTGTGTGTGTGTGTGTGTGTGTGTGTGTGTGTGTGTTGAATCCAAATATTAAAACTGATGCAAAAAAGAGAGATCAATATATTTATTAGAGAGCACAGAAATGAATTACATAAAAATGAAACTCAGTTTTAACCCCATTTATACATCCATTTTGCTCCTAGAGAAAGAAATTCCTTGGAGCTTGTCAATACTAAAATGTTTGATAAAAAAATGAAATGTAAGTTTTTTTTAAAAAAAAAAATTGAAAATTAAAAAGGATAAGAAGAAAGCGTAAATAAGAGGAAAAAAACCGTAAGTAAGGCAAATCGCTTTTAAGATGGCGATGGAGAAAAAAAAGGAAAGAAACACCAAAGCTGTAGGGGAATATGAAAACAGACACATAAAATCCTAGACAGAAGTTAAAAACGGTTGAAGGTTAACAATGACTTATGCTCGGAGAATGGTCTACTCCCTTCGTGTTTCTTTCCTTTTTTTTCTTTCTATCTCCCTCTTAAACACTTTTCCCCTTACTTACTGTTTTTTCCTCTTTTTTACTCTCTCTTTTTCCTCTTTCTTCCTATCCTTTGTAATTTTCAACTTTTAAAAAACGTTACGATAGATTTTTTTATCAAACTGTTTTAGTATTAGTATTAAAAGGGCATTTTTCTCTCTAGGATAGAAATTTCTATATAAATGGGGTAAAATTGAGTTTCATTTTTATGTAATTCTCTCTCTCTCTCTCTCTCTCTCTCTCACACACACACAGACACACACAACACACACACACACATATATATTTATATACAAAAGATTGTTTTATACAAAAAGAAATGTTCGACAAATGTTTTCTGGATGATAACGTTTTTAAGGAAAGCAGTTTTTGCAATTACGGTTTTCAATATTAGGCGGTAAATCATTAATTATAATAAATGAAATAAAATCTTAACTTATTTTCTCTCTGTTCTGTGTTTCACGGAGAAAATGAACACTTTAGGAGATTTGATTTTAAAATCAGATTTATTGCCTGAAATCCATATTTTTCATCTGTTTAGATATCTAATTTTTCATATTTTAAAATGAGTTTTCTGAAAATAAATTCAACCTTAAAATGGATTATCCTGTATAGTGAATAATAATTCTGAAAGACTTAGTACAGAGAAGATAAGAGAACATTTCCTCTTTCTCTCTCTCTCTCTCTATATATATATATGTATATATATATATACTTAGTTGTATAGATGTAAGCTTGTTTAAATTTTAATTTTTTTAAAATTTCCCCCAAGAAGAGGCGGGCCAGAGTGTTCCTATCATTTTTCAGATCGTTCTTTATTTTTTTAACGGAATAATTATTTCTCACACACACATACACGCATGTGTACGTGTACGTATATGCAGGGGATTGGTGTAGTAATAATAGTGGTAGTAAAGGATAGTAGTAATAACCGTGGTAGCAACAAATTAAAATAAATAAAACATTAATAGTAATAACTAATAATAAAAAATTAATAATAAAATCACAATTAAAAATTTAAAGTTGCAGTAGTAAATAATAAATAACTAAATAATGATGGAAGAGGTAATAAATAATAATAGTGATGGTAATAATTGAAGAAATCTAACTTATTATAAAACGCAGATTGTGTGTGTGTGTGTCTGTACGTTTATATATTGGATCAGATTTCCTCCATTTTCAACCGATTTCAATAAAACTTCACAGGACTACATAAAATTACCTTGCGGTGGTTCTAACAGTGCCAAATATTGGAAAAACACAATTGTTTTTGCACAAAATCAATTTGAAAACACGATTAAGAGGCATCACGAGAATGAAAGGGGGACAACTCATATCGAGTTATACTTATAAAACCCAGGTTGTGTGTGTGTGTGTGTTCATTTATATATGGGATCGGATTTTCTACATTTTTCAACCGATTTCAACAAAACTTCACTTTTTTTTGGCAGGTCGTGTTTCTTAATGTCTTGCACACTTTTTTCTGTATTTTTACACACAGAATACTTTAAAAATTCCATTTACAAGACAATTGTTTATAATAAAATTCTATTTAATCGGTAGATCCATAACAATTGAAAACAATGTTTTTATTTGAGTTTGGGTTTGACCAATTCGTAAAAATAAACAAAAAACAAAAAAAAAAAAATAATTAAGACATGCGTGTCCATAAACCTTAAACAATAATCTTTGTCAATTTCATTTTTCAGTCTTTATGATGGTCGATACTTGATCTATCTCTTACTGTTACATCCCCGGGCAACGCCGGGCTCTACTGCTAATAAAGAAGAAAATAGAAAATAACAGAAGTGGTGATAACTAAGAAATGGCAAAAGATTGTGGTGATGGGGGTAATAAATAAATACTAGTAATAATAAAAAAACAATGGTAAAAAGCAGTACGAATATATATATATATATATATATATATATAAATGAAATATAAAATGGACATTGCTGAGATCACCATGCGCCAGCATTCTAATTCAAGTTCTTAAACTATCTTCCGATGCTTTGAAGAGTGCTTTTAAGGATGGAACCGAAAGCTGCCGCGTGGTGTTAAGCTCATTTTAGTTTCATATTTCATATTTACATACGCCATGTCTCTAATATTGAGCACTTTTACCCATAAACGTAGCATACCTTAAAGTTATATTTAATTATATACAGTTGTGTGTAGAATAATTCCCCACTTCCATAATTACAAATAAAGCTGTAAAATCTCAAATTTTTATGGTAACGCCATGTACATTTTTTTCAAAAATGATGGAAGAATGTTCTCAACAAAATGTTTATATTAATGTCAAACAATAATACAAAAAATCACCCCCAAAACATTTAACATAGGACAAAATTATTGGCGCTCTTGCCTCTAAATTCAATTGTGTGATCTTTCTTCTTGATTATTGCCTTTTATCGTTTTTGATAATTCCTTACAAGATCACTACACATATTGATAGTTATTTTGTCCCATTCTTCCTTGGAAATAGCTTCTAGTTCCTCAAATTCCAGGGATTTCTTTCTCTTAATTTTCTCCAAATATGCCCATGCATTTTCAATGGGGGTTTACAGCAGGATATTCTGAGGGGTACGCCAATATATATCTTAATTTTGCTGTAATCTTATTATTATGTAACAATTTGTGCCCCCGTGTTTCACGTCATCGTCATATTGGAACGTCCAGTGACGCCCCAAATCTTTGTTTTATATTATCTTTAAGAATATCTAAATACTTCTCTTTATCCATGATACCCTGTATTTTCACTAATTGTTCTGGTCCAAAAGCAGCGAAATATCCCCAAAGCAGAATTCTGCCACCACCATGCTTAATTATAGGGAATGTATTTTTCGGTTTGTGACTTTCATTTCCTTTCCTCCATACATAACAGGAATTCATGTGATCAAATAATTCTAGTTTGGTTTCATCTGACCATAAGAAAGCGTTCTAATATTTACCCTCATGTTCTAGATGGCTTCTAGCATCAGCTAATCTGCATTTTAGGTGTTAAGTCTTAAGGAGTTTTCCTCGAGAGACACGCTCTAAGTCGTGCTCGGTGAAAGTATCTAGTGATTTTCGTTAATAAATTCAGCTCAAATATCTTTATGTCATAGACAATGTCTCTTGTCGTTAAGTGAAGATTCTCCGAAACATCTCTAACAATTTTCCTTTCAATTCTTTCAGAAACTAACTATTTTCTGCCAGTCCGTAATTCTCAACACAATGAGTCTCATTGTACTTCTTAATAATCCTACGAATTGTCGACCTAGGAAACTGTTGTATATCCATCACCTTGTTTGTACGAATCAATTATCGTCATTTAGAGCTTCTTGTCAAGTTCAGATGTCTTCGTCATAGTTGCAGAACGAACAAATTGCAAGAGAAGTTGTTGGAGTCGAAAAGGCAGTTACATTTAACTATTTTGATAATGAAACTATGGCACAGAGATGCCAACCTGCTTAAATTCATGAAGTTGTGGTACAAATGAAAGTAGCTCTTCAGAACAGTTGTCATGAAAATATTTGTAGAAAAAACAGAGGGAAGCCATATAACGTCTATTAGAAAGTGACTGTAGATGAGATGCCATGTGACCAAATAATTCTAGCTTCCCGAAGTCATGGTCGAAGAAAGCATCTAGTGACTGTCTTCGCCAATACATTCAACCCTGATGTTTTTACATGACTGACAATGTCTTTGTCGTTAAGAGACGATTCTTCGAGACATTTCTAACTATTCTCTTTGAAATTAACAGTTTTCTGCCAGTCTTTAATTTGCTCTCAACACAATGAGTTCAGTTGTACATCTTCATAATGCTAGGAATTGTCGATCTAAGAAGATTTAAACATTGAAAAGTGTTGTATATCCATCACTTTGTACACATCATCTATGTTCATTTTGTCAAGTTCAGCCGGCTTCACCATAGTCGCAGAATGGATAATTTAACGCTGTATGTGGCACTCATATATTTTCTTCTTCATTACCTTTTAGAGTGTTATAGAATCAAGTTAATAATATTTCATTTTCAAGGGGTGTTTCAGTAAATGTAAAATTAAGAAAAACATTGCAGTTGGTATAGAGCAATATTATTTCCTAAGTTCTATAAGTGTGGTGGCGAATGATTTTGAACATCAACAAAAGTTTTAGAAAATCTATAACTATGAATATAATAGATCGAAATTTCTAAGAAATTCACGATTTATTCAAAAATAAATACAGATTTAACTATTTGTTATGCTGTGGCAAACGAAATTTTTTTTCCTTCCACCAAATGAGTTCGAATCGCTCGTCGCCACTGTTATGGTCCGGTTCCTTGTACCACGGTGATAGTCCAAGGTAGAACCAATAAAGAAGAACTCGAATACGGATATGGAATAACACAGATATATTACAAACAGGAATATATACAGAGAAGTAGAAAGTTTTACTACGAACAATCAAGGTTTAGTAGTAATTGTCTGAACGCGACTCTGTTTCGGACTGCCTCTGACTCGACTGACTGACTCGCTCTGACTGACTGACAGACTTCTGACGGACTTCACTCCAGACTTCAGACTGAACTCTGAACTTCAGACGGAACTCCCTGCTTTTTCTTGTGGTGCAGTATTTATTACGTATGGAATATCCATTATGTTATTATGGGTAAGGTCCCATAACACTATTGATGGTATATTCTATAAGTACTAGCAAATATTCGCATTTCCTTAGTGTTACGACTGGAGCAACACAAAAATAAGATGAAACAGATTCTTAGAAATTAAAGTTGAAACAAAAGATTACATGTAACAACGAAAAGTGGGTTTTATTTAACATATAATACAATAATTTTTATAAACAGTCGGGCTGAGGTTTAAACTATATACGATGGGAAATGCTAACAAGTTAATAAGTGTATAAGAGCCCAGAAATTAGTTGGCTTAACGAATGAATCAGTCCAAAATTCCATCAAAAAGCCATTCATTTGTGAAGAATAATATTATGCCAAATCCTGTCAAATGCGTTCGAGGTATACAAAGCAACATATCGAGTTTCACCATTCTTGTCTAAACTTTAATAATGTCTCACTCTCTCTCTATCTCTCT